TTCAATTTTCGAGGCAATAATTAGGGAGATAGAGAGCAAAAGGAGAATTAATTTGTTAACATTTCTTATACAGATGAGTTTTATGTGGGTAAACACACATTAGCATTAATGTTTATCACAGGAGGAGGCAGAAACTCGAAACAGCACGGGGAGATTGCAAAAGGAAATAAGGTCTCGTGGATCATTTTTTTGGTAAAAGCAGGAAGAGGTGCTGGTAGGCAGTCCCTGTACAAAAGTCACAATGGTCTTCGGGCCCTACCTGCTTCTCCTGGGCAGCAGAGGTCCTCCCAAAATACATGTCGTTGTGTGTTATACTATGTTAGGAGGGAAGCTCATTTCCCCCAGTAGCATCAAAGTCTAAGAGCAACCGACTCAAGTCCAAAAGACCTGTTCTCTTCTAGAGGTTCTGTAGTTGGGATTTTACCTTAAGCAAATTCCTGAATTGTTCTGGATTTTTATTTTCCATCAGTAAGACGAGAGCTGCTAGATTCTCTAAGAGGGACTCGAACCTTGAACTACAGGGCCCATGCCCACGGTTAGCTTGGGCTTCCTCGCACCATGGCAGCCTCAGGGTCAGACTTCCACAACCACTCAGAACAGGTGGAGGGAAGAAACTGCTTGACCATCTAGAGGACATGCCCACAGCAGACATGGTGTCATGGCGACCGTATGTTATTGATCCAAGCAATCACCAGACATCCCAGATTTGGGAGCATGGAACCCAGACACCCTATTCCTGAACGCAGGTATCTTCATTATTCCACAAAAATAATGGGATCTTTAATAGTATTTATGATGCAACTTCATCTGAAAAACATCACACAAACTCTCTTCCTGGTCAAAATAACCCACAGAGGTACAGAACAGAAACATGATTCCATTCTTGATGCCTCCAGGGACTATATAGCCTTAGAAAAGTCAATTACCATCTCAAAGCCTCAGCCTCCTCTCATTTTTAAAGGGATTCTTCATCCCTTTCCCATCTCCCGGGAATTTTAGGAAGATTTAACTAGATAATGCAAATGATTTCTGGGCCAAATGTCAGGTAAAACGACTAAAAGAAGATCAAAACACAGAATATTTGAATTCCACTGAAAATAAGGAAAAGATATTACTTATACACGTGTTGTAAATGCCGAGGAAAATCTACCCAACCAAGTGCAGATGACGCAAAGCGACTGATGGGTGATGAACATCGCCATTTCTTGAGAAAGAACCCCAGAGTTTCCAGAAGAGTCGAGGAAATTATTAGCCCATGTGTTTGGAAGAGTGAGGGACACCAGATGGAGCTGAGGACCCTCGGACAAGGAGAACTTTTATAAGTGGAGTTTCAAATACAGCTAAAGAATGGAAAACAAGTTCCACTCCCATGTATAAAATAGTACTTCAGTCTACAAGAGGAAATGGGCAGAAACATGTTAATTAATGATTAGAAATGAATGAACACTTTCACTCATAGCTGATGAAATAAATTTTAAAACTAAACAAATATATGAAGAAGAAAATACAGTTAATTGTGTGTTTGGGTATGTAGAGACTCTATGTTAACTGTACATCTTTTCAAGTATCTATGAGACATATACAAAAATTGCCATATATTAGATAAAAATGAAAAAGAAACTTTAATATACAGAAACTATTCGGGCAATGTTCTCTGATCACAATGCAGTGTTAAGTGAAAATAAAACATGCACAAAAGAAGCCGTATTGCAACAAAATGTACACAAGCACTCTTCTGTAGAAAAGAGGAAGTGGAGCCTCGGTTATATAACTTAGGAAAGAATTATTTTTATTCTACTTAGCCAGCCACTGGGAAGTGCACAAAGTGACATTCAAAAGCAAATGCATTCATTAATAACCTAATAAGAATGTAAGTGCAAACACTGACCTTAAAAAGATAGGAAAGACCAAGAAAACACTTTAAGAAAAACAGAAGGTGGAAATTATACAAGAAAAACTGAAAAATGTAAATTCTTTAAATAAATTTAAAAACCCAGCTCTCAAAGGTTAGAAGTTGGGTGAAAAGGGTTATAATCAACACAGTCGTGTGGTAACTTTGCATGGTGACAGATGGTTACTAGACTTCAGTCACCATTCTGTTTCCCAGAACAAAAAAAGCAAATAAATGAAACAGAAGGAAAAGCACTTTCATCAAATTTGGGGAAGATGAATTTGCCATTGATAATTACTATATGCTAAGCAATAAACAAATTATATTAGAAAAATATATTAGACAGAATGTGATTAATACGAGACGCAGTCTATGAATTAGCTGATGTTATTAATGGGCATTGCTGACACTAATTAAAAATGTATGTGTTTAGTTAAGTTTATACCTCAAATGGGGAAGTGTCTTTAAAGGGGAAATCCCTTTGGTCCGGGTGACAGATCCACAGAATGAGCCTCGCCCCCACCCCGTATCCTAGTGGATGATGGCTTTAGCATGTTGGGAGATTGCTTGTGTTTTAACATGCGCAGCCCCACCCACCGGCTTCTCCGACCCTTAGGTCCAGGGTAAAACCAGACATGTGCCAGGTGACAAGCATCCCGAAGATTCTGAAAAGCACTGCCCAGCGGTGACCCAGAAATTCAGCTCCTCCATGGCATGTGGGTGCAGCGAGTACACCTCTTTTCTTTTTTTTTTTTTTTTTTTATCCTCACCCGAGGATATTTTTCCATTTTTTGTACAGATAGAGTGGGAGGGAGAGAGAGGAAGGGAGAGAGAGAGAGAAACATCGATGTGAAAGGGACACATCGAGTGGCTGCCACCCGCACGACCAACCAGGGCCGGGGACAAACTGCAACCGAAGTACATGCCCTTGGCGGGAACCGAACCCGGTCTCTCCGGACCGCAGGCCGACGCTCTAACCGCTGAGCCAAACTGGCCAGGGCGCGAGTACACCTCTTTTCATAAGGAGGAGGAAAACTGTGAAATACAGCAAATTCTGAAAAATATAAAAATTGGTTGCCACGTTGCTGTTTGGAGCCACCTTTTGGAAAAACGCCGTCCGCAGGGCCAGACGTCCACCTACACTGCGCAGGGCAGTCCTGCGGCCCAGACACACTGGACACGGCTCACTCCCAAGAAGTAAAGCCAAACAGGGGTGTTCAAGCCTTGGGCTTCGGAGTCTATTAAAATGGAAATGGCCCTGGCCGGTTTGGCTCAGCGGTTAGAGCGTCGGCCTGCGGTCCAGAGAGACCCGGGTTCGGTTCCCGCTAAGGGCATGTACCTCGGTTGCAGTTTGTCCCCGGCCCTGGTTGGTCGTGTGGGTGGCAGCCACTCGATGTGTCCCTTTCACGTCGATGTTTCTCTCTCTCTCTCTCCCTCCTGCTCTATCTGAACAAAGAATGGAAAAGTGTCCTCGGGTGAGGATAAAAAAAAAAAAAAAATGGAAATGCCTTGCCCGGCCGGGGTGGCTCATGGTTGAGCATCAAACCCAGGCACCAACAGGTCATCGTTCAATTCCCAGTCAGGGCACATGCCCAGGTTGTGGGCCAAATCCCCAGTGGGGGGCGTGCAGGAGGCAGCCAGTCGATGTTCTCTCTCCTCGATGTTTCTCTCTCTCTCTCCCTGTCCCCTCTTCTCTCTAAAACCAATAAAGGGGAAAAAATTGTAAATGGAAATGCCTCTTAGTTTGAGGTGGTGTTAAAGGTCCTGTGATATCCTCCTGGGTCCCCTGCTTACAGCATCTTCTGTGGAGGGTGGTCCCCAAGGCCCGGCGCAGATGTCGGAGGCCCGGGCGAGGAGGCCGCGGTAGGCAGGTGTGCAGCCAGCACCCGGGCCGGGACCGCACTCGCCAGTCTGGGTTTTGCCAAGAGTCCGGTGTTAAATCAGGGGAAATTGGAAATGGTCTTCATCAGAAGGCTGCCCGCTGTCTGTGAGAAAGTGAACGTTTGCTCAGCTCGCCTCAGAGAGATGTGGGCCCAGACCAAATAAAACCACTTCTGGGTGTTTTTTGTTTTGTTCTGTTAAAATCTGGTGCAAGGCAACAAAAAGAAATGTTCCTTCTGAACACGCAATGTGAGGCATGGTACCCTTTGAACCGATCGCAGGCCTGAGCCCCTGATCACAGGGCCTCTTCCGCTCCCCTGGGTTTTATGTTCCAAGTAAGAACACCTGCCGCACGGTTCGATCCCAGCTTCTCAGGGAAGACACTTGCTAATACCCAGCATCTCCTCAATGGGCCACGCGAGGTCCACTGGAGGGAAGAGCCACCGAGTAAGCGTGGGAGGGGCTGTCAGGGAAACCGATGACAGGAAAGGGGGTCAGAGAAATGGGGTGTGTGTTGACAGCATCCTGGGGTCCCTGTTTCAGAAGGGCTCCCACCTCCATTTTTTACTTTTTGAGCTATGTAAACACTCACTTCATTGTGACACTGACAGAACTGCAGGTGCTTCTTTGTCGCAGAAACGCACACACGTTCTCCTGGTGGAACGCAGCTGACTAGTCTGCGGCCACGGACCAGCACTGCTGACTGTCACGTCCTTCGGAGCCAACTCGGGGTCGCATCTTCCTGCTCCCCTCTTAGTGAACAAGTGCGGTCACGTTGCTTCCCAGCCTTCACTTCCTATTTTTCCGGTCAGGCTTTTACCTTTTGCTTGCTTTTTTTTTTTTTTATCCTCACCCGAGGATATTTTTCCATTTTTTGTACAGATAGAGTGGGAGGGAGAGAGAGAGAGAGAGAAACATCGAAGTGAAGGGACACATCGAGTGGTTGCCACCCGCACGACCAACCAGGGCCGGGGACAAACTGCAACCGAGGTACGTGCCCTTAGCGGGAACCGAACCCGGGTCTCTCCAGACCGCAGGCCGACGCTCTAACCGCTGAGCCAAACCGGCCAGGGCACCTTTTGCTTTTTTAAAGCGATGCCCCACAGCAGGGCCTTCCAGCAGAGTCTATTCTGTGCCATCCCCATTTCACCCTCCACGTGGAAAAGTGCGGATTTCGGGCTGACGGTTTAAATCATCGAGCCTGAGACCCGTCTCCCTTTTCTTCCAGCTTCAGACAAGCCTGACCGAGCCGATGACGTTGTCCAAGTCGGTGTCTCTGCCTCGCAGCGCCTACTGGCACCACATCGCCCGGCAGAACAGCGTCGGCGAGATCTACAGCTTGCAAGGCAAGTACGCGCCGCTGAGATAACTGTCCGCGGCTTCTGGGCACCCGGGGGCGTGCGCTTCACTTGGTGATTGCGTTGCTGGCCGTCGCTGGCCGCGGGCTCCCAGACTGACGGTGGCTTTGCTGAAGACAGCGTTTCAGACCCATGATGAAAGTTGTTTCAAAACCACCAAGGGTGGAGGACGCGAGATGGTCCGCTTAGACATTATTCAACACATCATCAGAAGCTAGAAGTAGCTACTCCCGGGGTCTGTTTTATGCTGTTTCTACAAAGGATTTCTTTCTCGGCACCTACTTTTCCGTAATGGGGTTGAATATAAGTTCAGGGGCTGACTTCCGGCACATAGAAACCATTTGCGGGGTGATGCATGAAGGATAGAAGAGGCACCTGTAAATACTTCGCGCCTGTAGTTTTTCTAATGATCAGTGGTTAACTAGCATGAGGATGGTTCGCGGATTAATCAAATTAATGAATAGCAGGTATTTCCTCAACAACAGCAGAATCGTCCGCTTCAGTGCTTTTCCTCCTCCTCCTCTTTGTCTTAAAAGGAATAATCTTATCCTCCGGAAAATACTCAGTTCCAGGCTAACAGCTGACCAAGGCTAGAGGGGCAGGAGCTAGAAAAATAGGCCACAGAACACAGTTGAAAACATTCACCCGACAAACATTTGTTGAGCACAATGGGCTTGAACATAATAGACACCCGGCCAACATCTGGCGAAGGAATGACCATCGTGACCTTCCGTGCCGTCCGCCACTCAGGGTACTTTCTCCTTTTGTACTTTAGCTTTTGCTCATATTGACAACACTAAGTGTTCTGACCAGAAATGTCTGTTACAAGCAAACTGAAATCGGGTATTTTTAAAGCAGTATTTTCTGGCCATGGTTTCATCCTAGACTAAGAAAATTTAGTCAGCTGGAATGAAGGATTAAAGATACATTCTGGGGCCCTGGCCGGTTTGGCTCAGCGGTTAGAGCATTGGCCTGTGGTCCTGAGAGACCCGGGTTCGGTTCCCGCTAAGGGCATGTACCTCGGTTGCAGTTTGTCCCTGGCCCTGGTCGGTTGTGTGGGTGGCAGCCACTCGATGTGTCCCTTTCACATCGATGTTTCCCTCTCTCTCTCTTCCTCTCTCTCCCTCCCACTCTACCTGAACAAAAAATGGAAAAATGTCCTTGGGTGAGGATTAAAAAAAACAAAACAAAAAAAAACTAAAGATACATTCTGGGGAGTGTGGTCAGCATCGTGGTGGAGTGATGAGACCCCGTGGTAGCGCCCCATAAAGTTACAAGCGGGCCTCTATAACCCAACAAAGTTTTCTCCGCTCAGCACGCAAACTCGCGTGAGAGATTCAGGCATCATTACCTCTGAAGGCCGGCGTTTTGGAGGGTGTGGGGAGGCTGGGGTGCGGGGAAGGACAGGGACGGGATGGTGTTCTCACACACAGCTTGGTGCCTCTGGGCCCCGGCTCATGTGGTGGTGGTGGTGGAGGAGTTGGGGTGCAGCCCCCATACTGTGAAGGTAAGAGGGGCAGAAGCAGCATCAGCGTATGCTGTACCCGCCCATGACAGTGGTGTCCTGAGACCGAGGAGACTTGGACACAGTGGGGACCCGACACCCCGGTCACCCCCTTGTCAGTTTCCGCTATCACGATGATACCCCCCCCCCCAACCGGGATCCAGGAGGAGCCTGTAGCAAAGGTCAGAGAAAACGATCCTTGCCCAGTATCGCTATCGACTGGAAACAAGACGTGGCCTGTAATTCCCACAGTAAAACCTGCTGTTCTCATGGAAGCACACGGGGAACTTGTCTCTGAAAGGAGAGCTCAGGTCCACAACTTTCAGAATAATTCCCTGTGCATCCCACGAAGGACACCGGACTGCACTGAGATCCTTGAAACACTGCCAGGGACTCATTGGAGGATAATGTCGATTTAAGCAACAAAATACAGTCAATAACTAATTAGAAAACTCTATGATTTCTCTCACTAATGCCAATTTCAAGCAAAGTTGAGGACTTGAAATATCGTATTAGTTATGATGAAGAATTTTCTTTTATGATCTTGATATTGCACTTTTTTTGGTTGTTTGTTGGTTTTTATATAACAAGAATACTTTAAGGTAATTACTGTAAGTCAGATAAATATAAAATGTATTCCATGTAAGTTACATTTCATGATACTTTACATTTATGTTTATATTGCATACTTCTTAAAGCAATACATTTTACCATTTTATACACCCCTCATTTTGTGGTTACATTATACACAGAGAGATGTAGATATCGGATAGGCAAATAAATGGATAGATAATATATAGATAGATACAGATAACTTGTTAGTAATACTTTGCGAGTGATGATTTCTTTTCTTTTCTTATGTTCCATTGAGGCTGTCAAGTTAAGCAGAAGACAAGAGTCTTTGACCATAATTTTTTATTGGGACGTAATCTATTCTGGTTACGCCTTAATGGAATCAGGACAGAGTAAAACTGCTGAAGGGAAAAAAATAGAAATAGAAACACTGGCTTCAGCACCCTTCATGCACACCTCCAGTGCGCACCCCTTGACAGTGGGGTGATCGGCGCCTCATTTCCTTGGCTGTGCTCCTAGGAGTGGCTTCACCTCTCTTCCAGAGAGAGCACAGTGGAGCATCTGTCATCATCAACCTTCCAAGTCAGGGGAGAAAGGTGTCAGTGGTGGGTGCCTGTCCCCAAGTAAACCACGGTAGCATTGAGGAACAAGACATGTATCTTTAGAATATCTTCATCACAGGTCTTATGTTCTAACGGTGACGATGAGGTCAACACGAGTTCGATCGACGGGCTTTCACTGAGAAGATGCGGGGGGAACACGTTATGTATTTAAGGTTTAATAGGTCGGGATTCCTTACCGAGCTGCGCAGGTACTAGACCTGGGGAAAAATTCACGGCAGAGAAACACGTCCGTTCGGTGTGAGGACTCACCCATGGCTCTGATCGCCTGCCACCCTCAAAACCTGCACTTTGCCCAGTTTGACTGTCTCTGTTTCTGTCCCTCTGAAGGACTCACAGCGACACTGCAGTTACTTGAATGCTTGGGGAAGAAGGTCTCCAGGCTACTCTCAGGAGGATGCTCAGACAGCAGAGTGTGTTTCCCTGGCGGACGCTAGCTCTCTGCAGTCAGGAGCCAGAGACAAAGAATTAGCTTGAAGAAGTACACGTTAGCTAAGGCGAGGCATACCCCGAATGGCTGGGGACGGGCATATCACCTCTTCCTGCAGACGGGGTAAAGAAGGGCTTTTCCTTGTCTTGATTTTTGCCAGATCATAAGAATGATCCAGCCCTGGCCAGTTTGGCTCAGCGGTTAGAGCGTCGGCCTGCGGTCTGGAGAGACCCGGGTTCGGTTCCCGCTAAGGGCACGTACTTCGGTTGCAGTTTGTCCCCGGCCCTGGTTGGTCGTGCAGGTGGCAGCCACTCGATGTGTCCCTTCACGTCGATGTTTCTCTCTCTCTCTCCCTTCCTCTCTCTCCCTCCCACTCTACCTGAACAAGGAATGGAAAAATATCCTCGGGTGAGGATAAAAAAAAAAAAGAATGATCCATTTGGGTTTGAAGGTGGTTTTCTATTTATATTTCTCCAACTTCTTCTGCATTCATGAAAAATGTGTATGTCTCAACACATTCTGGAAAGAGTAGCTCTAGACTGAGGGGACCAAGGGAAGGACACCTGATTTCAGACTCTTGACTCAAAAACGAATGCTTACCACATAGTGTCTGCTTTCATCCTGACAGAACTGGGAGAGGCTGAAGACCTGTTCCGCCCCGACCGCTGGGATTCCTCTCTCTCCCCTGCTGCTTCCTCCCCCCGCTCCCGGATGAAGGGAGCCAAGACTCTGAGCCCAAAATGGCCCCCCGGGGGCCTGGGGCTTGTGCTCTGCTTACTAAACTTTCCCTGCTACAGTCAATGAGTAATTTTTATACAAAATGATATGGCTTTTACGCTGACTCATTTTTATTTTATTTTTTATTTATTGATTGGGGCAACTTGGTTCATAAGATTATATGGGTTTCAAGTGTACGTTTCTCTGATACATGATCTGCATATGGCACTGTGTGCCCACCAACCAAAGTCCATATATTTGACCCCCTTTACCCTTCACTGCCCCCCAACTGCCTTCGCTCTGGTAACCACCACACTGTTGTCTGTGTCTGTGAGTTTTTGTTTGTTTGTTTGTTTTTGGTTTGTTCATTTGTTGATTTCAGTTTTATATCCCAGCTATGAGTGAAATCATGTGGTTCGTAACTTTTTCTGTCTGCTCTTTCACTTAGCATGATAGTCTCAAGATCCATCTAAAATGGATCAAAGACCTAAATATAAGATCTGAAACAATAAATTACATAGATACTAACCTTAGAGACCTTGGTCTTCGAGAAGATTTTATGCATTTGACCCCAAAGGCAAAAACAAACGAATGAAACCATATCAAACCATGGTGACTCATCTGTGAGCCGCCAAAACAACTCCCCTCTTTGAATCAAGGCTGGCTGGGTGTCCTTTGCAAAGGTGGTAGCTGACGGGTTCTGCTTTGATGAACACTCGTGGATCTTCCAACCCCAGCGCCGCCGCCCCCTCCCTCGGCCTCCCGGGAGCTGTAATTACGGTGCAGACCAGTGGTGACAGAGCACAGACCTGATTGCACAGGAGGTAGTTTATGTTCCCCCAAAGGGCATCGCGGCTTCACGTTCTCAGTGAGCCAGGAAGCAACAGGCAGTTAGTTAGGGCTGACCTCCGGGGTTCTGCAGAGGACAGGGGACAGATGGGCTGACCTCCGGAGTCCGGCAGAGGACAGGGGACGCGATGGGCTGACCGCTGGCCAGCAGAGGAGGGGACAGATGGGCTGACCTCCGGAATCCGGCAGAGGACAGGGGACGCGATGGACATACTTCTCTTCGCCCCGCGTCCGCCCCTGTACAGCTCTACGGCCAGCTGGTCAGTTTCAAGCTTGTATTGTGTGTAAATAGCTT